AAGCAGTGGTATCAACGCAGAGTACTTAAGTACTAACAAGGGAATGGTCAGAAGTCGAAGTGGGCAATCCATACAAGCTGCATACCATTCGATACAGCATAGAATGCTGATTTCAAATCTGTCTTCCATATCTGCAGAGCGCTTTTGTAGGCGAAGTTATGAGCAACTTTACCTCGAAAAAATCGTACACGAAAATTGCGAAATTAAGCGCATCATTGCTGTTTTAGCTCATTTCCAGATACGGACCATATGAAGTGACCTAGTTGCATATTTTGGTCCAACACTGAGTCGAAAATGGCTTTGTACGGGCAAGTTTGCCCTTTGCACGCACAATTTCTTAGCAAAATAACAGCCTTTAGCAGCTTATAATTTGTCCACAAAAGTGCTCTGCAGATAAGGAAGACAGACTTAGGGCCGCATGCACTAACCTCCCCGCGGGGAGGTTAGTGCATGCGGCCCTTAGAGTCAATGTTTTATGCTGCATCTAATGGTATGCTGTTTGCTTGAATTGGCCACTTCGATTTCTGACCATTCCCTTGTAAGTAAAAACGTCAATTGTACTCTACAGCATGACCTTATAATGAATATTACTACTATGGAACAGGAAATGACCTTAAGATCACAACTATCGATCCTGCCGAAATGCATATCAAAGGGCCTCGATAAGATATCCACCTTCCCTAGCTGCTGAACGAGTCTCTGACAGAAGTTATAAGCGGTTGAAAGTATAGAGTCACTGAGCTACGTCTGCACATTATTTTAAAGACCAATTCAAAAGGCCAAAATGGGCATGATATTGTGCGTACTCACTACAAAGAGCAAAAATTTTGGATACATAGTGAAGGGTTCTTGTACCGCTAATTTTTGGTGTGACATTGATTGTTTGCGAAGTTTGGAGACGCTATAACTTCCAATAAAGAGCCGTTCAGCAAATAAGGAAAGTAGATTAGGAATCAGCTCACCAAGGCGCACTTGATGACATCATTTCGTTTCAGATGGCCACTGCGACATGTGATCTTTCTATTCGGAACGAGCAGCACGTGAAAGCAACAATAAGCAACGTTTTGAACGCAATCAAGATGACCTTACATCGCAGATCCATGCGCACTGTGCCTTGAGCATCAAATGACTGCAATTACCGCAGTAAGCGCATGAGAAATACCCTGAGCTGGACTTAGAACAAATCGATCAAAGTTCAAAGTGACCCTTTACCATACTCCAACAGTATCCGTACGTGTGCCATCAGCAGCAAATCAATGTTGTAATCAGCACACTGACTAATCTAACCAAACCAAAACTGAGCGAAAACCTGCTTACCGTATACCTACAGTACATCGATGGGTTGTGGCACTTCTGCATACCGTATCCTCGGATTCAGAATTCGTCCATTCTGAAGCGAAATATGGCGGTTCGACGGGATTCCGACGGACTCTAGTGATGTGCGGCGCACTCCATGCACTCTAGTGGACTGCGTCGCACTCCGGCGCACTGCAGCGCACTTTAGCGGAGTGCGCCGCAGTCCGGCGACTCTTTTGACGAATTATGAGCGG